TCTTGTTCAAATCAAGAATATCATGCAATCAAATTCAAGATTCTAGGTTAGCTACTCCTATTCTAATGAATTAACATGCAATCACATATAATCAATTTAATCACAATCCGTTTATCAAAATCAATCCTCAATTACATAGATTACCTAGGCCGGGTTTCATCCCGAAACCCTAGCTAGGAGACTACTCACACATATTCATAATCAAAGCAATAATGAATTCCAAAAGCATAATAGATATAAACATGAATTCTGATTAAGGAATAATAAAGCTTGATTAATAAACAAGAATGAATAATACCAATTGTATTGATGCAAATCAATGGAAAAGTTCAGAACTTTGATATCCGTCGTCAATGAATAATACAAAGAACCTTCGCAAATCTTGCTTCAAATCAATCCAAGAAAGCTAAAATCTCTAGGAAATTCTCTAAGAAAACTAATGAATCTCTAATACTAAGAACGTTCTCCAATAACTCTCTACAAAGGCTCTCAAAACTATCTCTAAAAACTGTCTCTAGAATCCTCTTAAAATTGGGCCTTATATAAGTCTTCTAATGCGGAGAAGTCAAGCGCGCAGTTAACCCTGGATCAGCACGGCCGTGCTGTATTTGGCACGGCCGTGCTAGCTTGTCAGTAAGTAAACCGGATTTCTTCTTCAAATTGGCACGGCCGTGCTATATATGGCACGGCCGTGCTAAGGCCTGGCACGGCCGTGCTAAGGCCTGGCACGGCCGTGCTAAGGCCTGGCACGGCCGTGCTAAGGCCTGGCACGGCCGTGCTGAATCTGGCACGGCCGTGCTAATGCCTGGCACGGCCGTGCTGAATCTGGCACGGCCGTGCTGAATCTGGCACGGCCGTGCTGAATCTGGCACTGGCACGGGCATGGAAATTGGCTTGGCACGGCCGTGCTAATGCTTGGCACGGCCGTGCTGAATCTGGCACGGCCGTGCTAATGCCTGGCACGGCCGTGCTGAATCTGGCACGGCCGTGCTAATGCCTGGCACGGCCGTGCTGAATCTGGCACGGCCGTGCAGCATAGGCAGGAAGGTTGCAGGCACTTTGGTCTTCTTAAAACAGTCACAACTTCTTATCCAGAGCTTCGTTTGAGGCGTGCAATATATCGTTAGAAAGCTCTTCAAGTCTACTTTCCAATGCAATTGGAATCACTCCATTATCATTTGTATACCGAAAGTTGTGAGCAAAATAGTGAACAGGTGTCATATTTGTGATCTGTTCTGCCTTGCCTGCTACTTAACTTGCCTTTCAAGGCCTTGAGAACCGCAGCAAAGCCTTAGCTTGGTGGACTAGGATCGATAATAGCCTGATTACACACCAATGGTTCGGGACTCGACATAACTTGGTCAACTATACCTGTTAACACACCAAAAACAGACCGAAACCCGTGAAGCACGTAATATGAAGGAAACGAGTGTAACAAGGCAATAAACGACCAAAACGGGCCTAAATACATCCAAAATCACCCATTTATATGCCTTAAAGCGCGCCCTAATGTGCGCTTGTCAAAATCCCCCAAGATACACTTTTGCTAGTCCTCGAGCAAAACTAAGGGATACACACACACACACATGATCAAATAAACTATTGCCATTACATATAAATCCAGTTTAGCACGGAATGAAGTCAATGGATCCTACTTAGAACAACCATGCACGGAATGAAAACTCACTCAAATAAGCAACGAGACACACAATCCAAGGTATCGTTGATCAAAATGCAAACAAAACCTAAACCAAGCATAGAGAAAAAAGAAGTCATGCTTCCCTCTAAACCCAACCAAACCGGCCACGTCCTCCCCTTTTGCTTCAAATCACCACCCTAATTGGCCCCTCGTGATTCCTCGAAGGAACCGAAAAAAATGATATTTTGAGGAAATAACAAAGGTATCCCGACATCTCGATTACGCATAATCTTTCCATAGGGTTGAAAGGTATCTCCCTCCACCGTTTGAGAACCGAACACCTCTAAAGTCTAAGGGTCTTAAAATGGTTGTAATGTATTGGCAATGGGTAACGTAGGTGAAAACAATTTAAAAAAAGTGGTGTTAATTCCTAAATGAAGCGCAAGAATCACAATTCTCAAAAACAATAGTTCAAAAGATGTAATTCACTTTCCACAATCTCATTGATTCACATTCTTACACATCCCGAATTATCCATATAATACACACTCAAATGACCTCTTTCAAACTTCAAAACTTTATTTATGCGTCCTTGCCTTTTTTCACAAGTCGGACGGCTTTTCTCCTTTTTTTTTTATTTTGATTTTCTTTTCCTTTTTTTTCAAAAACAAATTTTCATATTACATATTTACAATTAAGCTCACTTTCAAACTTTCTCAAACCAACTATCGATCATTATTCTTGATTTATACACAATAAGCTCAAACAAACCTTGCGAGGTAAACGCTTCACAACTAAGGGTTGGTAAAACATCGGCCATCGGGTTTGTAACATGGGTAACCAAGAATGGAATTAAAGGCTCAACATGGTTAGCAAGTAAGATGATGTAAAAAGAAAATTAATTTGTAACAAAACAAAAGGAACAAGAATAAGAAAAATGAAAAAGGTGCCCTCTTCCTCCCTTAAAAGTGTCAAGTCGGTCTTGGGAGCTACAAGTCAACACAAAGATCGAAACATGCGTAATCAAGGATCCAAATATGCCACTCAAGAAGAATGATGAAGGCTAGAACAATAAAACCTCACGGGATTCAAAAACAAAGCAACTACCAATCAAGGGGGTCAAATCCACAATCGGGAAGCGACTCCATCTTACCACAGCCCAAAGGCATAAAGTTTCACATGACAAAAGTGTTCTATCCCTACCCTTCGCCTAGACTCGTCTACATTGATCAACAATAGACTCGAACTGTGTATTCATCATTGGCTTAAGTGGAAATAGACATTCCATACACATTCATTCACATTTGGAATCCAAATATGAGCATTATTCCAAAAGTTTATGCAATTAGACAAGTTTATCACGATCCAAAAATATAGGAAAAGACTATAAGGCAAATCATATAAACTAGACTACACATCCTCATAACAGAAGCTTTTCCTATATTGCACACATATATAAACAACTAAGTAATCTAAACAAGCTAAATGGCTCATATAGAGGCATGAAAATCACATAATAATCCCAATCGACAAACAAGCGATCAATTGATATCAACATCAATGATCCCAGGTTCTTTAGAACCGATCAAACATCCTTGAACCATTCAACTTCTTCCTAAACTAAACTATCCTAAGCACACAAAAACAAAAAACTAAAGGAAAAAGGGAAAGATTTCACCAAATGCTTCTTGAAAACACACTAAGACAACATGAGATGCGGCGAAGCTCCTAATGCTACCTCCATGAGTCTTCATATTTGCACAGGTTAGATAGAAACAAACCAAAACGAAACCAAAAGAAACTCGTTTTTTTTTATTTTTTATAGGAATATGAAGAAAAACAAGGGAAAATCAACAAGGAAACCATTCACCCCCCCCCCCCAAGCTAGTATAGACATTGTCCTCAATGTCAGGCATCGAGAGACTACCTAGAAGGCAAAAAGGGAAAGAGAAAAGTACCTCATTGACTGGGTCTCGGGTTGCCTCCCGGGAGCGCTTCTTTAACGTCATTAGCTTGACGCAACAAATGGATTACAGGTTACCCATAATCAATACTTGCCATTGTAGTAGAGATAAGCTCACCATTCTTATTCTTGACAATAGTCACCGCCCCTTTCTTAGGTACTACAAACACAGGGGAAACCCTTCCTTGATGTGTTGGAAGGGGTTTAAGCTTTACCTTTGGTGCTTCATTAGCCTCCTTTGCAGTGGCCACATCTAATGCATCTAGAAATTGCTCCTCCATGTCCCTGTTTTCCTTGTTCTCATTCAACTCAAAATCATGATTAGTATAGAATAATTCGTTACACATATCAGAGACAATGGAATCAACAGTGTCAACCATCATGCAATTATCAGAATTAGAACAAGGATATTTCATAGTTTTATTTAAATCAAAATCTAAAACCTCTTTTCCTACTTTCAATGAAATCTTGGCACCCTTTACATCAATAAGGGCCCCCGAAGTAGCTAGGAAAGGACGTCCTAGAATTATAGGTATATGAACATCCTCATCCATATCTAGGACCACAAAGTAAACAGGTATGACAAACTTCCCCACCCTTAGGGGAACATCTTCCACTTTACCCTTTGGAAATTTGATCGATCGATCGGCTAATTGAAGGGATATGTTAGTGGGAAGAAGTTCTCCTATATTTAATCGTTGATAAACAGAATATGGCATGAGACTAACACTAGCTCCAAGATCACAGAAAGCATTATCAATATTCATTTTGTTTATAGCACAAGGGATTGAAAAACTACCCGGATCTCCTAACTTAGGAGGCATTTTGTTCATTATTATAGCACTACAGTGTTCAGTGAGGTTAACAGTTTCTACCCCTTCACAGTTTCTTCTACCACTCAATATATCTTTTAAAAACCTAGCATAGTTAGGCATTTGCTTGATAGCATCAGTGAATGGTATAGAAAGGTGGACTTCTCTCAAGGTCTCTAAAAACTTCCCGAATTGGGCATCTAGCTTATGTCTCACATATATTTGGGGGTAGGGGAGTCTATGTAATAGGTCGGGTTCATTGGTTTGTGCTCCCACCTGTTCCTTTGGGACCTCATTAATTTTATCTTTTTCTCTGGTCCTCTCATCCTCACTTCCTACAACATTATCAGTGATAGGTGGAGTCACAGGTTGACTCCTAGGGGGTACTACTTCATCGCTCCCCCTCAATGTCTTTCCACTCCTAGTGGTGATAGCATTTACAGAGTTTTTAGGGTCAATACCTTGAGGCGGTAGTTTTGAAACTCCAACCCCATCTTTTATAGCACTAGCCAACTGAGAAATCTGGGTTTCAAGCATCTTATTATGTGTCATCTGGTTAACTCATCTGGTTTTTGCTGATGATCTTATGCTATTTTGTCATGGGGAGAAAAAGTCTTTTTCTTTTCTTGTAAGGGCTCTTAAGACTTTTGAGAAAGTTTCGGGTTTAGTAGCCAACTCAGAAAAAACAGCTGTGTATTGTGGTAGTATGGATTCTACGAAGAAAGAGGAGACACTGGGTAGCTATGACTTTATTATGGGTGATTTTCCGTTTAAATATCTCGGGATTCCTCTCAATGCTAAGTATATGCTAAGCTCTGATTTTGATAGCGTTGTTGATAAAATGTTGGCTCGCATTACTTGTTGGTCGAGTAGGAATTTGTCTTATGCTGCAAGGGCTACCCTCATAAATTTTGTTCTCATGAGTCTTCACTTGTACTGGGCTCAGTGTATTCTCCTTCCTAAGGGGGTTATGCATCGAATTACTCAACTGTGTAGATCTTTCCTATGGGATGGAGCTGTTGTCCTAGGTGGAGCCCCCCCTATCTCTTGGGATTGGGTGTGTAAGCCAAAGAAGTATGGAGGGATAGGAGTGAGGGATTGTAGTAGATGGAACAAGGCTGCCTTGGGGAAGTATGTTTGGAAAATTGCAAAGAAGGAGGATACGTTGTGGGTAAAATGGCTGCATAGTATATACTTGAAAGATCAAGATTGGTGGTCTTATAGTCCTAAGAAGAGTGATGGTTGGTTTTGGAGGGAACTGTGTGCTGTGAAGGATGAACTCCGACAGGGGTTTGAGATAGGTAACTGGATTAGCAAAAATTACAAAATTTCAGATTGTTATGATTGGTTACAGGGGCCTCAAGAGAAGGTTGGTTGGGATGCTTTAGTGTGGAATTGATATAATGTACCAAAGCACTCCTATATTGCCTGATTGGCAGCTCAGAACAGATTAAAGACCAAAGATAGGCTGATTTCCTTTGGCTGCAGTTATGATCCCTAATGTCTTCTTTGTGGTGTTTGCTCTGAGTCTCATGAGCACTTGTTTTTTTATTGCACATACAGTAGATTCTGCTTGAAGACTATTGCAAACTGGCTCGGAATTGCTGAAAGGAATTTCAGATTGAATGTATCTTGGAAACATTGGAAGAGACAAGGTATGGATATGATTCATAAGAGAGTATACCTAGCTGCTTTTTCTGCATGTGGATACTATATTTGGTTTGCTAGGAATCATGCCTTTTGGGAAAAAGCTGTAATTATTCCTTTGAAGCTGTGTAATTCCATATGTTTTGAAATTCTGAGTAGATTGCAGCAATTGATTGACATCTCCTGGTCCGGAAATCATTTTAAATGGTTACAAATACTAAGATGCAACGTGCCAACTTGATGTGCACTCATTCGGGACCTTGGGTTCTGATTCTGCTCTGGCTGCAGTTCTCGTTTGGTGGCTTCTGTCCTATTACCTGCCACTGTTCTCCCTGTGTCTTGCTGGTTCTTGTGCTGCTGTTAGGATTTCTTTTTTCTACTGGGGGCCTGCTTAGCCTTTCTACGTTGCAGGGTACTGCTGCTGGCTGCCTGTTACACTATTCTGTGATGCTGTTTGTTTATCTTATGGGCTGCAGTCTGTTTCTTGGATCCGCTGGTGTAGACTGCTAGTTTCAGTTGCAGTGCAGCTTGTTTTGGTTTTTTGTTTATCTTTGTCTAGTCCTAGCTTGAAGTACCCTTCCTAGAAGGTGCCTTCGTGCTTGAGTCTAGGTAGTTGTGGCCTCTCCCTTGTTTTTAGCACCCTTCCTAGAAGGTGGTTAATGATAATGAAGAGTGGTCGGGTTTTTGTGTTTGTTCTTGTTTTTTGTACAGCTTGGTATTTCAAAACTTATGTTTCGTAAGTTGTATTTTTTCATTCTTGGGTAATAAAATTTTTCTTATTTACCAAAAAAAAAAAAACAAAAAAGTGTACCAGCCGAATCCGCTTGTTTTTGGGGTTCGGCTGAGGTTATGCATGTGAGCGAATGCCTCGAAGCTGGGATCTACTTCCAGCATTTCGCAGGTTGCAACATATCCCAGGATATTAAACCAAGAATTTGGGGCAAGTTGCCAGACATCCAGTTGTATCCATCTAAGATTCCCTCCATGGCCGGATGGAGGGGAAATCTATGTACAGCCTGAATGGCCACCTCATAACAGCCAAAGCATTTGTCCCCGTAGCTGGACACCTCTGGCCAGACTACGGTGTCCTCGGCATCCGGCACAACTAAGATGATGCCATGTCCCATCACATGTTCAGCTCAAAAAGTCCCCACCTTCTCAAACATCATTTTGCGCCTGCCTACAGGAATGTGATGATAGTATGCAACATATAGCTCTCGGCAGGTAGCATACGGCTCAGCCCAATTCTCCCCCTTTTCCACAAATAGGGATTATCTCGCTGTCTCCAACCAAGAGTGCATTACTTCAGAGTCATCAGAGACTTTGCCGGATGTACAGGATTCAGATTCACTGTTCGAGCTGTCGGACCTAGCGTCCACCTAGGGGACCTAGCCAACAGAGCCCGACACTTCACTCTCTAATTCTTCCCTTGATTCTTGTAATATTGAATCATTGGGGGGTACTTAAGGTGCCATGCGGCACCTCCGAGATTTCACTAAGAGGCACCCTAAAGGAGTCGTCCATGTATTGCTGCTTGACAGTTTGCTCAATTCTGGCCATGATGTCTTGCACAGACACACAAACAGTCGGACTTGGAGTAGTTCACAAAGGGTGGTCCAACAAGGGGCAGTCGGCACTCCTAGTTCTAGATTCAGCCGTCCCCAGGGACCGGCTAATCAACTAAGGCCGTGCCGTGTGTTTAGGGAAACCATTTTCAAATAAAAAAGAAACAAAGTAAATACGAGAGAAAAGGAGGCGGTTACGTCTGGTTTAAAGGTGCTGAAGACGCTTGAAAAGGTCTCGAACTGCTGTAAAAATAGGTGGTCATGTAGCCGGCGACAGGTGCTTTTCTCAGAAAAAGACAAGTTCTTTTCTAAAAAGTCCAGAGATTCTACGTCCGAAAATCATGAGAAGTTGCGAAAAATGATTGGGGCACCACCCTTATATAGAAGGGTAAGAATTACGAGGGGCCCCCCTGAAATTTAAAAAAAAAGAAAAAGAAAAAAGAGGGAAAAAGAATTACGAGGGACACCTATCATAGGCACCACGTGGCAAGCCACGTCACCCCTGTGAGGGGCAAATGATTAGGGGATTTTTACCGTGGACCAATCAAGACTATCTAAGTGTCATCCACGTGGACCAACCAGAGTCAGCCATGTGTCACTCAGTGATGAGTCCAAAGTGGACCGATCAGGGCACAACACGTGGCTGACAAATATCCAACTAGGAATGGCTGCCTTCAAGGGCCAAACTCCTAGGCAGCCCAATTAATCCTAGGTTTCTGTAGCCTAGGACTGGCACATACTTCGGGACCCTATAAAAGGGAGATGTTCCCGCCTGGGGAACATCATTCACAAACATTCAAAGAGAGCATTAATTGCAGAATAAAACACACTTGAGAGTTTACACTCGAATATTGAGACTGTTTGCTATAGCCGGATGACCATTCCTCTCCTAAGAGGAACTTGATCCCATTTATACTCCGCACTTTTTACATCTGAAAACATTCTAAATTGATCGTCGTCCACTCAACTGTTGGGTTTCAAAGCGTTTAACGCTATGCGGAAGAGAAACCCGCCCAAGACCCGCTCACTAATTAAAGCAACTAAATATTTAATAGCATAATTAACAACATAAACGAGAGAAAGAGAAAAGACATTCTTACCCTTAACGCGTGCTTCGCTCGATTCAGGAGCTCTTACTTCAAAGCCCGAGCCTCGCAAGTGCGACGGCCTCTTACGGCTCGCACCCTCGATCCGACCCGAATGGTCCTAGTCCTGAAGGTTAGTCGGGACTTGACCAATAAAAACTAGAGTATTACGAACTTAAGGTTTTCTCACTTTACTAAGGCGATGCCTTTTTAGTTCCAATAAAGTATTCTTCCCAAAACCCAAAACTTGGGTATTTATAGAGAAATGAACGTTGATTTGCCATTCTCAATCAATGTGGGAGATTTTTATTTTCCCCTATATTATTTTAATTAAAAACAAAATAAAATGCTAAATCAATCAGCAAACTACAAGTGGAAATGGAAGAGGAAGAATTAGATGAGGACCATTTCAAGGGGGGGGGGACCATAACCTTGCTCATCAAGCAAGGCCCTTAAAATCGGTCCCTACTCAAAACCGGACCACACCACCAATTAGCTGGCTGGCAGCCTGCCTTGGCTGTCAAGGCTGCTAGCTGGCGCCTAGCACCAAGGCTGGCAGCCCAGCCAGCTAGCCAGCTCGCAATGCATGCACATCAAGCCAGCAAGCACATCGCTAGCCAGCCCGCAGCACATGCGCAGCGATGCTGTTGCGAGATGTTCCTTGGTGCTACTTGCTAGAACACATGCATAGCCCATTATGCTACTACTTGGTGCGAAGCTGCGATAGGCTAGGCGCCAGGCCCTAGCACGCTAGCAAGCACGCAAGGCACCATGCCTGTGTTGCTTGCGATAGTAAGGCGTAGCAAGCCTAGCATGTTGTTGGCCTTGCGATGCTTGCGGGCTAGCGAAGGGCTTGGTGCTTGGCCTAGCATGATGCGATGGCTAGCGCTGCTATTCTAGCACGCCTAACCACGCATGCACAGCCACACCACACGCATGCACGCATCTTGCGATGCTTGTGCCATATGATGTGCGTGTGCTAGGGGATGCTAGGCACCCATGATGCGCATGGGTTGGTGACCTCGCCTAGCCTAGCACTTGCATGGCTAGGCCAATGCAAGGCTACGGCTAGGCTCGTACTTGTAGCTTGTTTGATTTCACGTCTCGTCGAATTCTAAATTCGACTCGACTTGCGACACTCGGTCTCGACGCTCTAAGCTCGATATCCGACGTCTTTGTTCGTAATTCTCTAATGACTCATTTAATCCTTCAGATTGATTCATCGATTCAGATCGGTTATTCGATTGGAGTGCAACCCAAAGGGTTCAATCAAGATTAAACCGCTCTCTGTAGAGTTTTGCGGTGTCCGATATCGCGCGAAAACGAAAACCCGATAACCGGATCGCATGCATAATAATTACAACATAAATAAAAGAATGCAAATAAACACAAAAATAAGAGAAGAGAGACAATAGAGAGAAAGAATACTTCGCTCAACCGATGAGCTTGGACTTGAAAGCTTCAAGTTCCGCAAGTGTGAGGACCTTCGACGGCTCACACCCTCGCTACTGGTCCTTACCCCGTAGTTTAGACGGGGCTAGACCAGAAATAACTTAGAGTTTACGAACAAAGGTTTTCTCCCTTTTGGAGATCCTTTAGAGTTCACCAACTCAAGTGAAATTCCCAATACCCAATGATGGGTATTTATAGGGAAATGTCCCAAAGATTTCCATCATCTTTCAATGTGGGATAGTTGGTAAAAATGCCAAAAGAAAGAATTAATTTAATTCTAAGTTAAATTAAAATGGCTAGGCAATCATCAAACAACAAGTGGCATTAGGTGAGGACCAAAAGGACAACCTAACAACTACAATAAGGCAAGACCGATCAATGTCCTTGGACAACAAGGGATTGCCGGTCAAGGCCCTTATGGCTTTGGCTAAGTCGGCCTGCACGCATTGCAAACCCACCGCTAGCTAGCTGGGCTGCTATGCGCTGCTGGCTGGCTTGCCACAAGCCCAACGGCCTTGCCCGCAAGCACCATCAAGCCTCGCTATCTAGCGGGCTACTGCGTGCTTCAAGCAGGCTATGCGGGCGCAAGCTTGCGATAGTATTATGCTACCTAGCACGCTACGCCTTTGCATGGCTGCTAGTGGCCTAGTGTTAGCGCCACACACTCGGCCAGCAATCCTAGCTTGTGCATGCGCACACCAAGCTCGGCTTGCGGCCAGTGATGGCCTTGCGATATGAACCTTGGCTAGCCATGCTAGCCTACCTAGCCCTTGTATGGCTAGGCCATTGCGAGGCTAGGATTTTCATGCACGTTGACTTGTTGTTTGACTGATTTTTCCGTCTACTCGATTACTAAATTCGACTCGACTTTCGACGATCGGCTTCGACGCTCTAAGCTCGGAATCCGACGTATTAGTTCGTAAAATCTCTATCGACAAATTTAATACTTCGAATTAATTTGTCGATTCGGTTCGGTTACACGATTGGGTGTGACCCGAAGGTTTCAGTCAAGATTAAGCTGCTATATTAATTATACATTAATATTATTGATCGGATGCGGCCTCCTACTAGGCATTCCGATCACTTGATCTCACTGAATAATTAGTCTTCCTAATTAATTCTAAAACCTCTATCGGAATAATACACTTGTTCAAAGGACACCATTCATTTCAATCTTCCACTTGTCCTTCCGGACAAGTGTACTGTTTGTGTATAGCCTTTTTCCTATGTCACTTAATGTCTCTTCGTGAACTATAAGGTAAGATTTTTTGTCTTCCTTATTACGTCCAGAAGTGTTTCTTGATTTTCAAGTTCGACTGTCAATAAGTAGATGATTTCTAAAACCCATCTAAGCACGGCCATGCATTCTCACAGTCTCGCTCTTCGAGAGGCCTTGTAAACAACAAAG